AGGGAGCAGACAGGGACCCCTGGCACAAAAACTGTCCATGTGGTTTGGTTGTTCCTATTTCCATAATGATCGTGGCCCTTCCCCCGCTGTTGTCTATTATTAACAGATCCAGAAACTTGATCAGGGCAGTAGCAGCTGAGGGATTTTCTGGGAACCATGCCCAGGAAAGGCCCAGAAGCCCTAAATTGAAATGAAGGGGCAGCTGGCAAAGATAGAGTCCTAAATACTGTCCTCTCCTGCTGCCACCCGGACATACCCAGATTCTCCTCCTGATACACAGGGGAGATGCCCTACACATCTTGCTTCTTGGGACTAGAGAGTCAGAGAGACCAGTTCCCCAATCCATCCAGCCAAACTACTCGAACTTCTGAAATGAAGCCCATCTTCTTTGTGGTCGAAAAACGCAGCTCAAAATATTAAATTCCATTTAAAAAATCATCAATATAAGACCACTTGTGGAATTAAAAGCCAGGATACATAATTTCAAAAGACAAAATATAGAGCCATTCCTCTGTTCTCACATTAAAAACAGAAAACCAAGGGGAATGAGAAAAAGGAGGTATAAAATTTGAGAACAAGATGAGGGAATAGGAATAAAAAAATACAAATGGTGTAATAGTCCATACTGCGACAAAACTTTCAGAAAAAATCATAAAACAAAATACAAGTATGTGCTATTTGTAAGGGGCATGTCTACAAAAAAGTGTTATTAAAAGGTTGAAAGTTAGGGATGCCTGGGTGGCTCAGTGGTTGAACACCTGCCTTCAACCCAGGGTGTGATCCTGGAGACCCGGGATTGAGTCCTGAGTTGGGCTCCCTGCATGGAGCCTGCTTCTCTCTTTGCCTGTCTCTGCCTCTTTCTCTGTGTCTCTTATGAATAAATAAATAAAATCTTAAAAAAAATAAATACAAGGTTGAAAGTTAAAGGAACACATTTGGAAGGGAGACTCCAGTTTTGTCCTTATTCAAGACGGCTTTGGATGTTTTGGCATTCTGCATTTCCATACAGATTTTGGAATCTGCTTGTCAATTTCATAGAAATAAACCTGCTGAGATTTAGAATGGATTTAACCAGATCAATTTGAGAGAACTGGCATCCTTACAATATTGTTTTCTAATCCATGGAGATGATGATATATCTTTTCATTCATTTATGGAGGTGTTTATTTCAAGAATATTTTGTTTTCAGTATAAAGGTTCTGCATTTCAATAGATCTATTGGATTTCTTATGCTATTACATTTTTATAAGTTTTAAGTAATCTCTACACCCAACACGGGGCTCAAACTCAACAGCTCGGAGATCAAGAGTCACACACTCTTCCTACTGAACAGCCAGGCACTCCGTTATGAATATTTTTTATGAATATTTTTGAAATTCCATTTTTTGTTGTATCTAGAAACATGTAATTGATTTTCTTCCACATTGACTTTGTATTCTAGGACTTTGCTAAGTCCACTTCATTCTAAGAGTTTGTAGATTTTTTTTTGAGTTTGTAGATTCTTTTGGATTATCAATGTACAGTCATGTTGTCAGCAAAATTTTCCTTTATAATCCTATTTTCTTGGTTTCACACAGGCTTCGACCAGTATATGTGGTTTGCATGTTGACCGTGATAATGGCGTGACAGTGGACATCTTGGCTCAATCCTCATTTCATGGAGGAGGACTTCAGTATTATTTTATTGAGAGGTTTACCACAGGGTTTTTGTTGATACCTTTCATTGGATTTAGGATGTGCCCTCCTATTTCTGGTTTTCAAAGTTTTTTCTTTTAATCATGAATAGGTATTGTATTTTATAGTATTCTTTAGTGCATCTATCTAGACAATTATGATTTTTCTCCTTTATACATTTGTTAATTGCCTTGGTTACTTTTCAAGTATTGAATCAATCTTTTTTTTTTTTTTTACAGTAAACCTAGATTAAGTATGGCGCATTATCATGTTTATGTATTACTAGATTTGATTTGCCTGTTTTTTCCAGGAATTTTACATCTACATTCACAGGAGAGTTCGGGCCCCTGGTTTTCCAATGATATCCTTGATGGGTTTTGGTGGACCTGTTCCCTTATTCTATAGTCTCTGGAACTTCATGAAAGATTAGCGAGTGTAAGATAGGAGTGATGTCCTTTTGCTCTTTTTCTAAGGTCTGCTAAGGGTTTATCAAGTTTATTGATGCTTTCAAGGGAATGATTTCCCACTTCATTGATTTTCTTTCTTGGACATTTGTTTTCTAGTTCATTGATACTTGCTTTTTTGGTACTTTTCTGCTTCTTGAATTTGCTATCCTTTCAGTTTGACATAAAAACTTAGATCATTATGTCAGCCTTTCTTTTGTAACATGTAAATTTAAAGTCATATTAAGTATCACTTTACCTGTATACCACAGGTTTTGATATGGTGCTCATCTTCATTATTCAATTTTTTTCTAACTTCGCTATTTCTTCTGTGATTCATGGGTTATTTAGAACTGTACTGCCTGTTTTTTAAAATTACTGACTGTCCAGTTTTCTTTTTAAAACTGTGTTCACTGAACATTATTTTAATTCTTAAAAATTTTCTGAGGCTTGATGGTCTATGACCAATTTCAGTAAATGCTTCTGGTGCCAAGAGAATGTGCACACTGTTGGTTTAGAACACAGTGTTCTATTTGTCAATTAAGTTAGGTTTGTTCATTGTGTTGTTCAACTTATCTGTTATATCGGCTTTTGAAATAAATGTATTAAAATATTTTTAAAATATTAAATCCCATGGCATTCAGGAATTTCATTTCATTCTCTGCTTCCCTATTCCAAATATTTCCCTTGGGCTTTTGACAGCAATATCTTTGTGTATCTCCCCCCTTCTCAGCCTTTGAGCAGCAGGAGTAGTGAGCAGAGGAATGCTATATATAAGTAAGGAAGGCATGCTCTGAAGGCTACCAGTGCCTTGCCTTGCCCAGTTCCACTACTCAGTCATAGGCCCTCTGATGCCTTGGAAAAGAGCTGGAAGCAGAGGTTGGCTCTGTCTCACTGAGCGCCAGAAACAGGCATGGAAACTCGGGAGGCTGTGCTAAGCCTTGAACCTCGGAAGGAAATGAATATTTAAGTCTGTGATAAAATGTTTCCAGCACTACCTCCTCACTTCAAGACTCTCCAGAACTACATTCTGGCCACCATAATCAGGAGTGAGGTTCTGTTTAGGCAAAAGATGTTTTATCAGATAAAGGGTACCATTCCAGCCTCTCAAACAGGTTTTATACATCGGCAAGACTCTTCTTCCCAAAGGACCTAGCCACGAGGGAACCATCATTGCCCTCTTGGCAGAACAGCATGTTTGTGTCAAACAGGTGGTAGAGGCAGGGGTGACATGGATCATGTGACCAGAATGCCTAGAGATCTCTATATTGACAAAATCAAATCTCGAGTTGAAAGGAAAAACTATTTTTATAAAAACAGAAACAGGTTTTATTTCAATCCTGTCAGGGAGTGAGAGGGATGGAAAACAAAAAATGAAGGGAGGGATCTCTTTATACACACATGACATCAGGATCAACTACAAGGAATAATACCCATTTTCATCCCTCCCCCAACTCCTACGTGGGGTCCAAGGCCAGCTGAGAATAGATGGAACAAGAATTAAGACAATATTGGCACAGCAACATGGCCAATGCACCAGAAGATGGAGAGAGAAGAGAATTCCTCAGGGAGCAAGGCCTTGCGCCTCAGCTGCTTCCCCAGGAGGGGCAATGAGAAAACTTTGGCTCAGCAGGAAGGCAGTTGGCAAAAATCAGAGATCCCTTAGCTGGACGCTCCAGATCACAAAACTATGGGCTGAGGGAAATCCAGACGTCTATCCAGTCCATGTTGTTCTCTGCTTTCTCCAAGACCTCTTCTCTTCAGGCTTGAGACTGAGAGCTGACCTGGTTCTCCTCTTCATTTTGGAAGACAGGGGAGTAAGTGCTTATTCTACCCTTCTTACCTCTAGGCTACTCGAGTACTAGTTTCTTGGCTCTAGAGACAGAAGCCAACTAACAAGTCCGGCTCCCTTTGTGAAAGTCGGCTTGAAAGAGCCCTTGAGCTGGCAAAACTGCCTCTGCAAAGGTTTCTCTCAGTTTGCTCCTTATAGACAGACCCTCCCTAAACTTGTTCGGGAGATGTGGACAGAAAACACTTTGTCTCTCTCTAGAGCTGGATTAAAAATCCCATTTTTGACTGGAGGTGGGATTATGAGAGAGAGAGAGAGAGAGAGAGAGAGAGAGAGAGAGAGAGAGAGAGAGAGAAAGAGAAGGTGTTGGCAGGGGGAAGGACTGGGGGAAAGCAAGGCAGTGTATACTGCATTACAGATTCAAGTCTCTGGATTGTGAAGTCATCTAGGGCTCCAAATGAAGGGGGATTGGGGATTTGCTGACTCAATATGAACAAGTGGAAATATCTCAGTGGCAACCCTGTAATTCCCAAAGACCAATAGACAATGTGTCCCCCCCACCGCCAAAAAAAAAAAGACTAAGTGAAGAAGCAGAGTCCAACCCTCTGTCTTAAATCTGAATAAAATAAACTCATTCAATTAATACCACTTCAAGTACAATCATGAACCCAGATGGAAATGCAGAAATTCATACTAAAGAATGAGATCAAGTAGCTTGTCATCTTGATCCCGGCGCCTTCCCCTTTAACAGTCATCCGAGACCATCTCTCTGAGGACTGGAATTGAAAGAGAGGCTCGCTGCCACCTCTCCTCCCCCAGTACAGCACCCTTCCAGGACAGCCTGATGAATTAAGACGTCTGTTGAAGTTGAATAGGAGGGACATGAAAAAGGGGAAAGCACTGAGATTTGGAAAAGCTAGCAGCTAGAGACAGAAACAAGGTTAGGGTCCTTGCGGCATCCAGAACTGGGGGCAGAAGGACAGAAAGGGAAGGGAAAAAGAGGCGGTAGGGTCCTGTCATCCTTTGGCTTTATCCTTCCCCTGCCTCCCATTCCTCCCCACAGTTCATGCAGCTATTGGCTTGCTAGAGGGGATGTAATGCCCAGACCAACTTTTTATTAAGCTTATGCAGCTAACAGACTTGTAAACAGTGCCAATTGACAAAGTTTTGCTGAGTATTACAGCTTGTGTCCACTAAACACGCCTCTCTCTGACATTAAAAACAAAAGATCAAAGTAAACAAATACTGAGAGAGAGGATGAAGAGACACATCTTGAGTCTTCCAGGAAGGCAAAAGAAAAGACCGCCACACGGCTTGTCTTGGTCCCAGGTGTTCAGCATGCCTAGAGTGCTGCCACCAGCACGTCTCCCTCCCCGCCAGCAGCTGGTACGGGTGGGGGAGAGGGGCCATCTTGGGCATGCTGCGGACACAGCATTTGCTGGTGTTGACAGCCTCCTGGAGCTGCGGTGGCAGACTGCGGTGTCAGGAGCCCATCTCCCTCCTGGGAGTGGTGGAGGGAGCCCAGGTCCCAGAGGCGGCCTGAGACGGTAGCCCGTACACCTCAGCGGGATGAGCTTGCCCCTCTCTTCTCCAGTGCAGTTCAGCATTGAGGTTGTCTATTCCCGGTCGGCGGTAAAACCTGAGCTGTTTTCCTCCAGGTTCCCCCTCCCTTCCCCAACTCAGGGGAGCAGGAGAAGGGGGTGGGGAAGGATCACTGAGGGGGCAGGGGGATCCCCCGGGGATCGGTGACCTGGCCCTCTTGCAGGTTCTTCACCAGTTGTGCCAGCCAGCGTTTCGTGGTGGTGTCATCTTTTAGCACCTGGGCGAAGGTGGTGTCCTTCAGCTGATCAGGGAGGCACTGCCTGAGCGCTTCACGTGCCCTACATCAGAGACAAACAAGCCAACCAGGGAGACCAGCAAATAAACCCACATTTGGAGAACGGGGAAGAGGCTCTTTCTTAGACATAAATATACAGAATCCTGGGAATATGTGGTTCAGTCAAATTATCTTAAGAATCCATTAAAATTCCTTAAAACTTGTATTAGGAGTGGGCTCAGAGATTTCCAAGATCTGTCATCTTGTGAACGTTTTCAGAATGATGTCTCAATGTGGAATTTCAGGATAAAGCAAAATGGAATGGTACAATAGTTCAATTCAAACTGCTTTCTGATTTATTACAGTAAATACTGTCAATATGCTCATGGTAGAAACAGATGGGTTATAGTAAATGAAACACTTCCAAAATCAGTACATGAATAGGGAAGATGACCTGACTCACGGTATGATAAATTAATGAACTTGAATTCTAAATTAATATAAATTTGTGTCTTTCCAAAAACTGCCTCAGTTTTTTTTTTTTTTCTTAAAGTAAGCTCTATGCCCAACATGGGGCTCAAACGCACAACTTCGAGATCCAGAGTGGCATGTGTTACCAACTGCACCCTTCAGGTGCCCGTTTTAGTTTTATAGTTAAAACACTTAATAAATTGAGATGAGAAGTAAAAACAAAATTATAGTAACAATATTATCAGATGAAATTTCAAATGTTTCATTTTCTTTAAAAGATAATCAGTGACAAATCAAATCCAGAACCTCAATAAGGTAAGTGTTAATGGTTTATAAAGCTGTTTTAAATAAAGTTATGGCTTCTGTACTCAGACTAGTTTAAGTAAACATGTTTTCACACTGATAAAAACAGGAACCACTGAAGAACGAGACAAAATGGTTGAAGAAGTAGTTAGGGCTTGAATAACCTCAGAAGCAGAAGGATGCATTCACATTAAATTGAGTTATCCTCATTCCTAGGAACATAGAAATTGCCCCATTATGTGGTTTAGCAGAACCTGAGCAAGTGGCTTTCAGCATGAATTATGGATTTACAAAGCAAAAGGTCAAATGTTTCTAAAATGCATTATATCTACAACATATGATTTCTGACAAAGATTATGAAGATAGGGAGATAAAATAATTAGCTCAAGGACTTTACAGGAATCAAAGAGAAGAAATGAAAATATAATTTAAGAGCCCTCTGGGGCTCTATTCCATTCTTAAGAGATCTTTGAAAATAGACCTTCTCTTTCTGACCACCTGGGGTAGCAATAACTAGATAAAATAGAAAGCTCAAACTAGGGGCGCCTGGTTGGCTCAGTCGGTTAAGCATCTGCCTTTGGCTCAGATCATGATCCCAAGGGTCCTGGGATGGAGCTCTACATAGGACTCCCTGCTCAGCAGGAAGCTTGCTTCTCCCTCTCCCTCTGCCGTCCCCCTGCTTGTGCTCTCTTTCTCTCTCAAATGAATACATAAAAATAAAATCTTTAAAAATAAAAAAAAAGAAGTAAAAAAAAAAAAGAAAGCTTAAACCATAGGAGTAATGTATCATATGGTTCCCTGAGAACTGCCTGGACTCTCTGGAATTCTAGAAGAAGGTAAACAGTTACAGAGAGACAGAGATAAAACTCTGATGGATTTTTTAAAGTAAGCTCTATGCCCCAATGTGGGGCTTGAACTCATGACTCTGAGATCAAGAGCTGCATGCTCTACTGACTAAGCCAGCCAGGTGTCCCCAATACTCTGATGGACTTTTAAATTTAGCACTTCAGATCTAAAAGGAATTAACTAAGTTCTACCAAACTAATTATTGTTATATCCCTTCCCTACTCTAAAGATATAGGAGCTATGCCATGAGATGGGGCAACTATTCACCAGAGTGTTTCCCTAACATCCTATAAATCCTGTAAATGTTTACCTGGGATTATCTGAGAGTCGAAGGTAACACCTCACTACATGCTTCAACAGACGGGCAGAAGGCTCTTTGGATAGCTGCAGGACCATCTTACCCTGTTTTCCCCCAAAATGGGTTGGGGTAGGAAAAAACACACAAACATAAAATAATCCTAGTTGACATCAGAAATCAGATATTTCAAGAATCATTATACAAGGTTCCAGGAAGAAGCTGTTCAGTGTCAATGACAAAGGGACTAAACTGTATTATTAAAAGTAATTGTAAGGGGGATAGATAGAAGAACTCACCAAAATCATGGCAACATGGGAGAAACGCTCGTATGTCTGACATATATATGCCAAACCTGTGTCATCTAAGAGGATCTTCTGGAGGATGAATGTGGCAACCTGGAGAAAAAAAAAAAAAATGGAGTCCAAAACATTGCTCAGACTTGCCTTCTAATGGTCGATTCACCTTCCAATAATTGTGAATCAGAAAATTAAACAGAGGGCAGCTCCAATGGCTCAGCGGTTTAGTGCTGCCTTCAGCCCAGGGTGTGATCCTGGAGACCCGGGACTGAATCCCACATGGGGCTCCCTGCATGGAGCCTGTTTCTCGCTCTGCCTGTGTTTCTGCCTCTCTGCCTCTGTGTCTCTCATGAATAAATAAATAAAATCTTTAAAAAAAATTAAAAAAAATTAAGCAGAGACCTTGACAATATGTACAGGTTAGTCAACAAGGACATGCATAACTTATTTATTTATTTTTTGTAAGATTTTATTTATTTATTCATAAGAGACACAGAGGCAGAAACATAGGGAGAGGGAGAAGCAGGCTCCTCACAGGAAACCTGATGCGGGACTCGATCCCCAGACCCGGGATCACACCCTGAGCCAAAGGCAGATGCTCAATCAGTGAGCCACCCAGGCGTCCCAAGACATGCATAATTTAAACAAAATTAATAATAAACATCACTATATTGAATACCTACTATGAGCCAAAATTATAGTACAACATAACAGATCTTATTTTTGCAATAAACCTGAGGTAAGTACCCACTGTTATTCTTTTTACATTAAAGGGGTAGGTTCTGGGTAATTATCAGATTCTTAAAAATGTAGGTACATTTTCAGTTACTGATACCATCTATGTGCCAAGCCTAACTGCTAATCAGTAACTTGTCAGGTTAAGGCACCAATTAACAAAGTCACTAAGTTGCAGAGTTGAGATCCAAATCTACTTTAAATACAGAGACTTTTCTCTTTTCCATGGACAAAGATGAGTTTAGAAATCCATCTGTGCCTCATCTCTTCTAAATGAGGTATGTAAAGCTTCTCCTACTCTCTCTCTCTCTCTTGCTCTTTTTTTTTTTTTTAAGTAGGCTTCATGGGGCACCTGGGTGGCTCAGTGGTTGAGCGTCTGCCTTTGGCTCAGGGTGTGATCCTGGAGTCCTGGGATGGAGTCCTGCATCAGGCTCCCCATAGGGAGTTTGCTTATCCCTCTATGTCTCTGCCTCTCTGTGTCTCTCATGAATGAATACATAAAATCTTAATAAATAAATAAAGTGGCTTCATGCCCAGTATGGAGCCCAGTGTCAGTCAAACTCATGACCCTGAGATCAAGACCTGAGCCAAGATCCAGAGCTGGACACTTAACTGACTAAACCACCCAGGTGCTCCAAGCTTTTCCTACTCTTAAAAGATCTTTAAGAATTAAGATTTTAGGGCAGCCCGGGTGGCTCAGTGGTTTAGCGCCGCCTTCAGCCCAGGGCGTGATCCTGGAGACCTGGGATTGAGTCCCACATCAGGCTCCCTGCATGGAGCCTGCTTCGCCCTCTGCCTGTGTGTCTGCCTTTCTCTCTCTCTCTGTGTCTCTCATGAATAAATAAATAAAATCTTAAAAAAAAAAAAAAAGAATTAAGATTTTATTTTATTATCATTTTTTTGAAGATTTTGTTTATTTTGAGAGACACAGAGAGAGGGAGAAGCAGGCTCCCTGAGGGGAGCCCGATGTGGCACTCAATACCAGGACCCCAGGATCATGACCTGAGCCAAAGGGAGATGCTGAACCACTGAGCTACCCAAGTGCCCCAAGAATTAAGATTTTAAAGTCTTCCTTCTAAAACTGTTCCAACAATAGTAAAGAATATCCTCAATTTTAACTCATTAACTCTTATACAGAAGGGACTAAAAACTACTAGTTAATTCAGGTCAAACAATTATTTTAATCATTTCCTTTCTTGCCTGCTCATCAGAACCAAGTGTGGGAATTATTTATTTCATTTTACTCGGGTATAAAATTGTGGTTGGACTAAATAATGGCCCCCAAAGATATCCAGGACCAATCACCAAACTCTGTGATTCCTACCTTAAATGGTAAAAGGCACTCTGCATATGTGATTAAGGACTTTGGGGATGGGGGTGATTGGCTGGCTCAGTTGGAAGAGCATGTGACTCTTGATCTCAGGGTTTTGAGTTCGAGTCCCATGTGGGTGTAGAGATTACTTCAAACTTAAAAAAACTAAAAAAAAAAAAAAAAAAAAAAAACTAAAAAAAAAAAATCTTGGGGAGATGAATCATTCTGGGTTATCTAGGAGGGCTGTAAATGTAATTTTAAGAGGGAGGTGGAGGGTGATTTGACCACATAGGAAAGGGACGTGACAGAGCACGAAGAGATTTGAACACACGACACCGCTGGCTTTGAAGATGGAGGTGGGGAGCACGAGCCAAGGAATGTAATTCTCAAAGACGGAAAAAACAAGGAAAGAGATGCTTCCTTAGAGGCTCCAAAAGGAATGTTGCCCTACTAATACCCTGACTTTAGCTTGGTGAAACTGATTTATAATTTCTAAGTTCCAGAACTACAAGAGAATAAATCTATGTTGTTTTAAGTCACCAAGTTTGTGGAATTTGTTATGGGAGCAAGAGGAAATACACACAGCAAAATATGTATAGTGCACAAAGTGCCCTAATCTTCAGTGTATCTTAATAACTTTTTACCTATGTACACATTTATGAACCACAGCCAAATTAAAATATGAAAGCTTTCCAACACTCCAGGAAATTCTGTTGTGCCTTTCCTCAGTCAATATCCTTCCTTGAGAGGGAAGCCTGGGTGGCTCAGTTGGCCAAGAGTCTGACTTCGGCTCGGGTTATCATCTCAGGGTCCTGTGACAGGGCTCCACATCAGGCTCTGTGCTGAGCGGGGACTCGGTTTCTCCGTCTCCCTGTGCCTGTCCCCCTGCTCTGTGCGTTCTCCTCTCAAATAAATAAAATCTTAACAAAAAACCAAAACACCCTTCCCTGAGAAGTAAACAGTATTCAGACTTATCCCCACTGACTGGTTTTGCCTCTTTTTTGACTTTCACAGAAATGGAATCATTAAATATGAATTCATAAATGTGCTGGCTTCTTTTGCTCAATATAATCCCTATGAGTATCATCTATGCTGCACATAACAGTATTCTTCCTAATTACTGTGTAGTTTATTTGTGGCTATACTACAATTTATCTTTTATGAATACTGCTGCTATAAACATTCTTATACATACATCTGTGATGTACACAAGAGCTCATTTCTCTTGGATATATACCCAAGAGTGAGACTGCTGGGTCAAACAGTAGGCTTGTGTTGATAGTGCATACTGCCAAATAGTTTCCCAAAACAGTTATACTATACACTCAACTAGAGGGACTTTTTTTTTAAAGGAACACCAATGTCTAGACTTTACTACCCTAGAGAATGATTCAGTAGGTCAGAGATTGGACCTGGGCATCTCCAGTTTTAAAACACTTCACTGGGGTGCTTGGGTGGCTCAGTCAGTTGAGCATCCAACTCCTGATTTCAGCTCAGGTCATGATCTTGGGTTGGGCTCTGTGCTGGATGTGAAGCCTACTTAAGATTCTCTCTTCCTCCCTGCTCCCACCTCTTGCACTCCCCCTTTTCAAAAAACAAAAATAAAAACCACTTCACAGGTGATCATTCCACACAGCCTTGATTGACACCCTCTGCTTTACTGAGTACCTACTACAGCAAGGTGTTAGACTAAGTATTAAACATAAAAACTGAATGTGGGGACGCTTGGCTCAGTGATTGAGCATCTGCCTTTCGCTCAGGTCGTGATCCTGGGGTCCTTGGATTGAGTCCCACATCAGGCTCCCCACAGGGGCCGCCTTCTCCCTCCATCTACAGCTCTCTCATGAATAAATAAAATTAAAAAAAACCCCCCCCAAAACCCAAAACTGAATGTGGTAAGGTTTCGGCTTGCATGGAGCAAATGAAGACAAGTCACGAGGTATTAACCATATCAGGTAGGATATGTCATACAAGCTAATGGAACCTGTATGTGTTCAGAATGCATTAACTTTAGTAATAGGTAAAGAAGTAAACAAGGGAGAGATCATTAAGATGGCATTCCTGAAAAAGGGAGAGATGTCACCAAAAAAATGGTTTTTTTCTATCCCATTCATAAAAAAACAACTTGAAAAACCTATTCACAGGCAACCACTGATATAAGATGACAGAGTACAGTTGTATCCATTCTGATGCTGTCCCAGAAAGCCACTGAAATTAACAAAACGCCCTAAAATTAGGGAAGAAACGAAAGAAAAAAACACACACATAGATCCCCACATCACTTACTTTTGTATGTTTAAGGAGAAAAATGAATGCAGAGGTATTAATACCTCCCAAATACACACATCCCAGATTGGGTGGAAAATATTCGGAGGTAAAATATTTGATTGCCAATCTGGGCAGCCAATTGGGGGCTCAGCGGTTTAGTGCCGCCTTCAGCCCAGGATGCGATCCTAGAGACTGGGGATCAAGTCCCACGTCAGGCTGCCTGCATGGAGACTGCTTCTCCCTCTGCCTGTGTCTCTCTGCCTCTCTCTCTCTGTCTCTCATGAATAAAGAAAATCTTAAAAAAAAAATAAAAAACTGCCAATCTGAGCTCCTACCACCATCACTCTTTCCTCCATTATTTTTATTTTTTTTTTATTTTTATTTACTCACGAGAGATACAGAGCGAGAGAGAGAGAGGCACAGACACAGGCAGAGGGAGATGCAGACTCCCTGCAAGAAGCCCGATGTGGGGGATCCCTGGGTGGCGCAGCGGTTTGGCGCCTGCCTTTGGCCCAGGGCGCGATCCTGGAGACCCGGGATCGAGTCCCACGTCGGGCTCCCGGTGCATGGAGCCTGCTTCTCCCTCCGCCTGTGTCTCTGCCTCTCTCTCTCTCTCGCTCTGTGTGACTATCATAAATGAATAAAAAAATTAAAAAAAAAATTAAAAAAAAAAAAAAAAAAAAGAAGCCCGATGTGGGACTCGATCTCTGGACCAGGATCACACCCTGCACCAAAGGCAGACGCTCAACCACTGAGCCACCCAGGCATCCCTGAATTAAAAATTAATTCAATGTGACTGAGCATACTTTAGAAGTAGAGGTTGATGTTGCTAAAAATAGCAACATGGAAAAGTAGCCTTGAGAAAAATTCCATGACTTGAAATAAAAAAGTAGAAAGCTATTAAAGGGAAAAAAGGATAGGTTGGAAAGATACACAATGTGGCATAACTGATGTTGTTGAGAGGCCAGAACAAATTAAAAACTATAAAAATTAATGAGACACAAAGAGGATACTCTTCCAGAAAAAAATTTGATGTAAGATTATTAAATGAACTTAAAAATAATAATAAAAAAAAGCTTACAGACATCCACACAGAAAACGCAAGTTCACCAACAAAAGGAAAAACTTGGGTTGGCCTAAGATTTCTCTGTATATTCAATATCAAAGACATCAGTGCTATGGCAACATAGTTCTGACAAGGAGAAATGAGGTAAGAATTTTTTATCCAGTCATGTTGTCATTCATAGAAAGCAAAGTAAGCAGAAGCTCAAGTATACATACACTTGAATATGCATAAAAAAATGCCTGGAGTGATACACCCATGGAGAAGTAGGTTCAGAGAAAAGGGAGAAATTTAGTTTTTAATTTTATATTCCTCTTAAGGGTCTGGGTTTTTAAAAGATCATTTTTTAATAATTTTTATCTAAAAGAGAAAATATATACATAGAAGTTTCAAAAAGTCTAAAGGGATGCAGAAAATGCTCCTAGGAGCATAAAGTAGTATAAAGTAGTCCAAGAGCCAACAGAATATAGAATCTAAGTTGAAAAGCACATACCGTTTTAGAAAGTTCACTTCCAGATTCCATAATGCGCAAACACAAAGGGATAATTTCTGTTGTCAATAAAAAGTTGATTACTTCTTGCTCATCTGTTTTCACTAAGGCCCCTAAAGAAAATATGGACAAACAAAATTATTTTACAGTCAGGTTTTGAATTAAAATTTGGGGTGCTTGGGTGGCTCAGTTGGTTAAGTGTCTGCCTTTGGCTCAGCTCATGATCTTAGGGTCCTGAGATAGAGCCCCAGGTCAGGCTCCTTGCTCAATGGGGAGCTTGCTTCTCCCACTCCCTCTGCCTGTCCCTCCTCCTGCTGTGTCCTCTGTCAAAAACAAACAAACAAACAAACAAAACAACAACAACAAAAACCCAACAACTTTTATTTTTTAAATATTTTATTTATTTATTCATGAGAGACACAGAAAGAGAGGCAGAGACACAGGCAGAGGGAGAAGCAGGCTCCATGCAGGGAGCTTGACGCAGGACTCGATCCTGGGACTCCAGGATGACACCCTGGGCTGAAGGCGGCGCTAAACCTCTGAGCCACCCGGGCTGCCCCCACCCAACAACTTTAAAATTAACTTTGTAGTGTTCATCCAGCTAGCTGTGGAACTTAAGTAACAGAGAACAAAAACTGTGGTTCATTTCAGAGAATCAGATTCATAATGATGTTAAAGAAGAAATAAAAAAAAACAGGAAGAGGGCAGCCCCGGTGGCTCAGCGGTTTAGCACTGCCGTTGGCCCAGGGTGTGATCCTGGAGACCTAGGATCGAGTCCCGCATTGGGCTCCTTGCATGGAGCCTACTTCTCCCTCTGCCTGTGTCTCTGCCTCTATCTCTCTCCCTGTGTCTCTCGTGAATAAATAAAATCTTAAAAACAAAAACAAAAAAAACAGGAAGAGAAAACAGAGGTTGACTGTCATCAGTCACCATTTGAAAGATCAGGTACCAAGTCGGGTCCATCACATAGTTAGCAGCAGGTCAGCCATCTAAATCATTTTTCTATAACTCTTGGTAGACAGCCACACAATAATATCATGATCTATTCTCCATTTATTTTATGTGAGAGAGAATTCTGTATCAGTATAAAAAGATATTCCCACGTAGCAAAGAAATGGTGCCAGTTTGAATCCTACTTTACAATGGACATAAACAAACACTGCTTCTTGGTTATTTGTCACTTTCTCTACAGAGTGCAAACCTGGTAGGGTTTACCCAAACAAGAAGCATACACACACTTCAACTCTAATCCTAATTCCACAACTAGTTTACCTAAGTTTGATAGAGTTACCTTCCCTTTATAGGTCTCTGTTTCTTTATCTATAAAATAAGAGTTGATCTCACAATTCTGAGATGATGACCTCAGCTGAAATCAAGAGCTGGGTGCTTAATAGGCTGAGCCCCCAGACACCCTAAAAAACCAACTCAAATTCTTATCTCTGTAATAATACTTTTGTTGTTGTTTTTAAAGATTTTATTTATTTTAAATGCAGATGGGGAGGAGAGAGAGAGAGAGAGAGAGAGAGAGCAAGCACAAGCAGGGGGAGCAGCAAAAAGAGAGAGGGAGAAGACTCCCTGCTGAGCAGGGAGCCCAATGTGGGGCTCAATCCCAAGACCCTGGGATCATGACCTGAGCTGAAGGCAGATACTTAACCGATCAAGCCACTCAGGTGCCCCAATAATACTTTGTTGACTTCAGTTCTTGTTTTCTATTCTCCCAACGATTCTAGTAAATGTTTCTACATATATGCTGAATATAATTCCAAATGTTGGGTCTCATATGCATATATATATTTTTAAAATTTTTATTTATTTATTCATGAGAGACACAGAGACACACACACACACACACAGAGTGGGGGTGAGGGGCAGAGGGAGAAGCAGGCTCCATGCAGGGAGCCCGACGTGGGACTCGATCCTGGGACTCCAGGATCATGCCCTGAGCTGAAGGCAGGCACTTAACCGCTGAGTCACCCAGGCATCCCTATTTATTTACTTAAGAAATATTTATCGCCTATTACCATTTATTCATTATTAAGTCCTCATTTATTAGTGAAAATAGACTCAATCTCAAAAACAAAAATGAACAATGGTGAACAAAAGCTGTAAAAAACAAGACAAAACACTTAAGATCACTATTATGAATTATTTCAGACTTGCAAAACCATCCCAGTAACTTACCAATAACTCCAAGACTGGTTAGCCGAAGATATTCAAAGGGTCGTGTTTTGCTGACAGTGTGCAAAAAGGGGTACAAAAAAAGTGGGATGTGTGCTGCAAGAAATGCTGACCTGGAAGAAAAAAATAATCCCAATCAGAACCCAGGGTTCATTTCTAAGGATTCCGAATATTCATTTCCAAACAGTCCATTCTATAAGGCCTGAAACATTGCCTAACCAAGGAATCTCTAGGAAAGAGTTATAGGTCATTAGCCTAGACCGGCAGTTCTCAGTTGGGGTCATTTTGCCCACCAGGGTACATGTGACAATGTCTGGAGATATTTTTGGTTGACACAACCGAAGGGGTGCTATTGGCATCCAGTGAACAGAGGCCAGGGATGCTGCTAAATATTCAACGGTGCATAGGACAGGCCACTTTCACTCCCCTCCTCCTACCACAAAATCTAGCTCAAAATGGCAATGTCAAGGTTAAAAAAAAACCTAGTCTAGGTCTATGGTTAAGAGAATACACAATTTTCCCTGTAATCAGTACCAAGTACCTGAAAAACATAAAATATCCAATTATGGATTTAAAAAAATAGGTCATATAATGCCATTAAGTGCCCAAGAGATTTTCCTAGGTGCCTTCCCTTACCTAATTTATGACTGAATAATAATATTCAGGAACAGTCAGACAAAACCTCATAAACCAAGATGAAAAAATAAGGTGTTTTCAGATTTATCTGCTATGTTTATTTTTATTTTTTTTAAAGATTTTATTCATAGAGACAGAGAGAGAGGGGCAGAGACACAGGCAGAGGGAGAAGCAGGCTTCATACAGGAAGCCCAACGTGGGACTCGATCCCAGGTCCCCAGGATCACACCCCAGGCTGAAGGCAGCGCTAAACCTCTGCGCCACAGGGGCTGCCCTATCTGCTATGTTTAAATGCACACTGTTCATTTTTAGTTAGAGCAGTTCAGAAACACTAAGTATTCTAAAAACATTTTAAAGATTTTATTTATTTTTAGAGAAAGAGAGAGTACATTCATGAGGGGAGGAGCAGAAGGGGAAAGAATCTAAAGCAGACTCCATGTTGAGTGTGGAGCCCAACGTGTGCCTCGATCTCATGACACTGAGATTATGACCTGAGCTGAAACCAAGAGTTGGAGGCTTAACCTACTGAGCCACCCAGGTGCCCCTTTAAAAACACTGTAATCCTAAGCTAATATGTCAGGCAACTAATATAGAACCAATCTATTATATTATTTATAGTTAACACCTTGTGGAAGAGCCAACACTCTTAAATTTTTAACACTCAAAGTACTCTTGTACTTTTCTTAAGTGCTTAAGAGTAATTTTCATAATAACTTCTCTAAAGTTTTGAAATATCAGTGCCAACCCAGCACTCAGATTTATTACCTGACAAAGAGATGAAACACTTTAATAAGATGACTGTTAAATGCCTTAAAACCATAAAGGTAAAAAAAAAAAAAAACATAAAGGTCACAAAGATTACTGAAGAGTATTTCTTTGTCGGACGTAGCAGGCCAAATGGCATGCCAATTTTGATCTATTACAAGGTTGCCTAGGATCCTGTGTTAAGAAAGATTCTGAAGCCAAATCTCGGTTCAGTAGGAAAAAATGCTGGCTTCAAATATTTACTGAACTCCTACTAAATGCCATGCACTGTGCCTCACTGATGGCAAAATGATGCCTACCATATATTCAGGAGGGAGAAATATCTACATGCCTGACCTTTCCTGAGAGGTGAACATCACTTTTTTTTTTTAAATAATAAACTCTACTCCCAATGTGGGGCTTGAATTCATAACCCCAAGATCAAGAGTCGCATCTCTACTAGCTGAGCTGGCCAGGGGCCCTGTGAATACCATTCTTTTAAAGTTCATCACTATGTATAGGTAAAAGGTAATTAAAACAATGGATTATTAGTCTTAAAAAGGAAAGAAATTCTGACATATGGTACCATATGGACATTATACTAAATGAAATAAACCAATCACAAAAAGACAAATACTGAATAATTTCACTTAAATGAAGTACTCAAGAGTAGTCAAAAATCAAAGAGACAGAATGTAGAATGATGGTTATCAGGTGCTATGGGAATGAGGAGTTATGGTTTAATGGGTATCATTTCAGTTTTATAAGATGAAAACAGTTATGGAGATGCATGGTGGGGATGGATGCCCACTGCAAATACATTTAATACTACTGAACTCTATGCTTAAAAATAGTTGAAATGTTAAGTTTATGTTATATATATATATTTTTTTTACCACAAAAAAGGCAAAAAAAATTTATAAAAGAATATGCCAATCAAAACTATACTGTTACCACATGAAAACTTGAATAATAATAAAAAAAAACTTGGTGAATTAGAGATGAGAAATTCTTTAGGAAAAAAAAGTAAACAAAAATCTTAAAGATCCACATCCACACACATGCATCCTACTGCATGCCCCTCCTCTCCTCAAAAAGAAAAAGACCGTATTTGATACAAACCTCCATCAACGGACTCATCAAAACACCTACCTGGTTTCTGGGTGTGATGCCACACATTGCAGTAATGCCAGAGCATTGCAAACTCTGTTAGATTGGTGTGCTGTCAAGGTGGGTGGGTTGATAGATGGATAAATATTTACAATTTCCTATGAAATGGAAACCAGCACCAGATAAATAAGGAATAACTTATTTTAAAAGCAATTCTCATGGTATTAAAGCAAAAACCCTACAAACCTCCCACAATCCTTAATTCCACATATCCTGTAAAAATTGAATCATCAAAGTATGAGCAAAAATAAACAAATAATGCTCCTATCTTTTCTTCAGAAATATACTTGAGACTATGAGACATTTCCACATAGGTCTCTAGGAAGATTACTCTGGAGGCAACTGTAGTCACCTATACTTCCTCTTATATCTAGCATCTGTTGAGGCCTTCACTTGAGGGGCTATTATAGTTGAAATCCTTCTTTCTGTCAACACCCTGCTTTAAGTTACAGTGATAACTAGCCAGATAGCAAGTGTCAGTAAATCAACCACAGTGACTCATAGAGAAGTCTGAGTTTGGTCAGGTAGCAACTGCCAAAAGGGAGAGATAAGAATAGGGGTATCCATGTGGAGGTACCTATAATCAGCAGTGAATATGTGTACTGTCTGTCCAAAGGGGATGATCTGCTGTATACAAATTCCTTTTAACTGTAAAAACTTTTAGTGAAAATGTTTCTATAAAAAAGATTAGTTTGGGGTACTAAAAATATGCTTATTGTAAAAAAGCAGTGAATATAGAATTGTTCAATTGTTGAACTGTTATATTGAACACCTGAAACGAATGGAACACCGTATGTTAATTGTACTTTAAAAAAAGATTAGTTTCTTGACTACATGAAGTAGAAATTGAATGCAAATTTACTTAACAGATTTGAAAAATTAATTATTAGGAATTTTAAACAATACTTTAAAAGATGATTATCCCATTATCTTGATATCTTAGGATTATATTGTATCACTTTATTCTCCACCAATGACCATTACAGTCAAAACCAAATTTCAGTGATTCATTCTTTAATGTACAAGCTTACCTACTTCTAATCCTACAGCTGTTATATCTTTATCTTAACATTTACTTTCACCAGAATATACCCTGCAGTTCTTATATTCTACCTTCTGCTTTTTCTTCTCTCACCTAGAAATATCTTGTACGATTCCTAAAGCTGTGTTTCTTGAAATGTGGTTCTCAGACTACCTTACCTGCATCAGGATGACCTAAGAATAGGGCAGGTGCTTGTTAAAAACACAGATTTTTAATCTTAGACTAAACAAATCTTTTGGGTAAGATCTATGAACCTGCATTTTAACAATCACCTCAGACTTTTCTAAAACAGATTCTTCCAAATCCTAATATTTAAAGAATCATTCTCCTCAAGTCTTTAAAATCATTTCAGCAAAAGCAGAGACAGAAGTGTGATGAACAAGACTGAACTGTAACTCACGGACATATACCCACCTGTAAAAGTGCTGCAATAGTACCAAATGAATGCCACAGCATGGGTGCAAGGTCAGGAACAGATTCTCGCTTCTTACTCAGCTCCAGCAGAGCATTTTCCCTTGTCTCAGGACTGGACAGCTCATTGATCCACTGATAGATTTTTTCTCTATCTACTTGAGCCAGTGCAGTAGGCACAGGCTTTAAGTGAAAACAAGAAAGTGAACATGTGAGTTTCACTGGAGTCAAACCAAGTCTTATTTACTCTGCTTTAGAAGGAGTATATTTTTCCTAAATACAAGGGGAGCTTTTCTATATACATACTTAAGTCAATCTATCAATATCTAAAATGCATATATCCTTTTAATAACTGCATGCTTAGGAATATCTCCTCTAGGTATACTTGGGCTATACCGAAGACATACCAGGATGTTTACTGCTGCGTTGTTTTATTTTATTTTTTAAAATTTTTAAAATTTATTTATGATAGTCACACTCACAGAGAGAGAGAGAGAGACAGAGAGAGAGGGGGGCATTATTCTTATATATTTATGTATGTTTCTGGAATGACACATAAGAAACTTAACAGTAACAACAAAAAATGTAACTGTAATAAAGCTAAAGTTGGAATCTATATGGGAGATTTACCTTCCGTTTTAAAGCTTTTATTTATTTGAGAGAGAGGGAGAGAGAGAACGCAAAAGAGCACATGTGCACCAGGGAGGTGGAGGGAGCAGAGGGGGAGGGAGAAGAATCCAAGAAGACTCCACATGCAGAGGCTAATGCAAGGTTCAATCTCAACACTCAATCTTAAGACCCTGAGATCATGATCTGAACTGAAACCAAGAGTTGGAGGCTCAACCAACTAAGCCACCTAGGCGCCCTGATTTACTTTTCATTATGTACAATAAAGTCTTCTGTATAGTTTGAACTTTTTTAAAACATATGACTACAATAGTTTTTGAAAGAAAAAAATTTATAACCTCCCCACCTACTGCTGGTCCTTCCCCGGTATTCCAGTAACACCGTCCATGAAGCAGAAAACCTATGTAATTTGGAAAAGCTTCCCTTCTAATGATTCTTATACATACTCTACCTCCACCCCTTTAAGAATCATTTATTACTTACTCATGCAGGAACATTCTTTCATTAATGTGCTAAAGCATCACACCATTTCAAAAGAACCTAAGCATTTCTATAATTCTCTATACTTGCCAGCCTTGTGACCTTGGTTAAGTTCCTTAATTACTCTTTTCTGGAAAAGAAGATGATAGACTAGAAAAACGATTACCATTGCTATTTCTAGCTCTAATGTCCTAACAAATCTATGATTTCTATGCCCAATATTTTCTCACTTAATTCCTCCAACCAAGGGGAATAGATTGGTAGGTAGAGTGAGTAGGTAGAAAAAAGGGCAACTACACTTGTAGATGATATCACTAACAGCCAGAAGAATTAACCTGTTCAATTCACCCAAGTATGAAGCTGAATATTCCATTGCCTTCTTGAACTGTATTACACAACTTTGCATGATATTTACATGTTCCCTCTACATCTTGGTGTGACAGAATGATGACCCTACCATCGTACAGATGGGAAGATGAGGAACAGAAAGGACAACTGTCTTTGAAGAACAGAAGTCTAAGGTAGACTATGAAGTATACTCAATTACTCTACCCAAGTTGAACAATAGCCTTCTATAAATGGAAGCTTGATTATAAGCTTTTAGCTTAATGTTTATCATTTCAATTGCTTGACAGAATGAACCACAGGTGTTCTGCTAAATGGACTGAAATACCATGCAGCTCAAGTCTTCTGTAAGTGCCTTAGAGTAATCTGTTGTAAAGTGTTTTGTAATTCCCATCAGTTATGCTCAAGGAAACACAGGCTCCCACAGCAACAATATGAAGAAAAGGGTAGTCCTTCCCATTCCCCAACAGCAGAAGCAGTACTGACCAAGCACATGCCCTTTCCAAGCTGCTACAGATAGGCCCTCAACTTAAAAAATTATTTTTGGAAATATAATTCCCACCAGAAGACAGGGCATGTTTATTTAGAGTATTACATCACCTTAAAAGCTCAGTGGAAACAAGGGCTAAAATTTTAGCTTTGGGTTTCCTGCCCACAGTCTCCTGCATGACCCACAATCCAGTAACTAAAGGAGCCTCAGAGACACTCCTCCAGCAATATAATATCTATCCTGAATACTCGTTACTCATTCAACTCTCCCTAAAGTCCTGTCGCCCCAACACCATCATCAGTAAGCTCTACTGTCGTCATCAGAGCCAGTCTGCGACTTGTATCTGGAATTCCTATGCCTCAAGCTGCCCTGGGGAGTCCAAGATAAAAAAGCAGGATGTACTTGTAGCCAACAGTCTATCATATATCATGGTTTCTGGATACCAGGACCTACTCCCCATGTATTCCCTTTCCAAAGCTGTCCTGACTCCAGAAAAGAGATGGTATCCCTGGAGCACGGCTAACTCCAATGCTTAGTGACAACCAAGGTCATGGCCACCTGCTGCCAAGCAATACTCCAACTTTTGAGGCTACTTGTGGAATTACAGCATCCAAGGGGCTTTGGTTCTAAGAGAGCTAGGGGCTCTGTAGCCATTCTAGAAATGGGAAGGCAGTGAGGGGTAAAGACCCTCCTTTTCATCATCCCTGGTGAATTTTGCCCCCAATTTAATAGTAGGTCTTAGTTTAAACCCATGGAATACCTATTTGTTATGAGATGAATACAATTATTTCTGAAAATAAAAATGGGAGCTAACATGTATAGTGCTTATTACTCTGTCAGGCATTAAATGAATACTTGTTACCACCCTGATTTTATAAAGGAACAGAAGTTATTTAACATGTAAGTGCCAAAGTTAAAATTTGAACCCAGGCAGCATGGCAATAGAGTATACTCTTAACTGCTTTGCTCAGGTTGCTTCTCACCTTCCTGAAAAATTAGGTCTGATAAAAACCCTATCTCCTGTGACACAGACAAGATACAGGAAACATGTAAACATTTCAGACAAAAATTAAAATGTTACTGCTGTTCAGCAAAATCTGAAAAAATAATCAGCACCATGAAAATACCATTGATGTGAAGAGAAATTCTCGACTTAACTGAGATCACAAAGTACTTGATAATCATCATTTTAATGAGAAAGTCAGTGAGATGGTTTGACATAATTCCCTATGCAAATCATGGTTCACATAGGAATAATCTAGTTAGTGCTAACCACTAACACCCACACACACCTCCCCCACATACATGAACAGGTAATTTTGTAGCACATCCAGAAGTTTATTTTGGAGGATAAAGGGAAAAATATTTTTACATTTTAGTCACATGTTGATTTATGTACAGATGACTCCTGAACGTGGCTTTGAACTGCACACATCCACTCATTCATAGTTTTAGTAAATACACTACTGTGTATTTTCTCTTCCTTACGACTTAACATTTTCTTTTACTTTATTTATTTTTAAAGATTTTATTTATTTATTCATGAGAGACACACAGAGAGAGAGGCAGAGACATAGGCAGAGGGAGAAGCAGGCTCCCTATGGGGAGCCTGATACGGAGCTTGATCCCAGGACCCCGGGATCATGATCTGAGCCAAAGGCAGATGCTCACATACTGAGCTACCCAGGCACCCCTTTTTCTTTTACTTTATTATAAAAATATAGTATATAAAATTATAACCTACAAGATATGTGTTGAATCAACTGTTATTAGTAAAGCTAGTAGTTAAGAACAGGCTATTAGGAGTTAAGTTTTGGGGGAGCTGAGTTATACGCAGACTTTTGACTGTGTGTATGGAGTAAGGTCGCATCTCTAACTCCCATTTTGTTCAGGGGTAGTATCTGTATTAGTACCTGTATTAATGTTATCAAACGACTGATAAAATTTTTGGACATATCCTTGAATAAAACTCCAAAGCATAACTCCAGCATCTCACTAGGTCTTGATGTTAATAAAAACCCCAAGTGTATCTTACTCTACTTCTAAATCCCAAGGATCATTTAGGCACACCTTTCACAAAAATGAGAATCTGGAAATTAAGGTCTTCCTAAACAGATGTGGGAAGTGAAAGAGGGTGGATGAGGGAAGAAACAGAACTGTACTGTACACTTTATTTATTCACATATGTATGTATTTTTGAAAGAGAGAGAGAGAGCGCGCACATGTGTGCAAGCAGGGCAGAGGGTGAGGGAGAGCATCTTAAATAGGCTCCATTCCCAGAGTGGAGCCCAATGTGGGCCTTGATCCCAAGATCATGACCTGAGGTGAAACCAAGAGTCAGACACTTAACCGACTGAGCCACCCAGGCATTGCTAGTATACTTTTTCTTCTTCTTTTTTTTTTTTTGCTAGTATACTTTTTAAAACATGGTTTCATCTAATGGTCAGAACAACAAAATTACCCTCATTTTACTCTTGATAAAAACTATGAGTAAATGATGGCAGGTTTCCTCCTGCTCCCATTCTCTATTTAAAGATCTCCTCTAGGGATGCCCGAGTGGCTCAGTGGTTGAGTGTCTGCCTTTGGCTCGGGGCATGATCCTGAAGTTCCAGGATCAAGTCCCACATTGGGCTCCTTGCGTGGACCCTGCTTCTCCTCCGTCTGCCTATGTTTCTGCCTCTCTCTGTCTCTCATGAATAATAAAATCTTAAAAAAAATATATATCTCCTCTAAAGATTCCTAATCCAAGTGCTACAATTCTTTTAGTTTATAATTTACTAACACATTTCTGAGGCTGTGGGTGATAATGGAACTCCACCTAGTAGCACACATTGTTCAGTGGCTGATAAGCAATTTATCTATGACTTCTCTACTGGAGACTACTTAAACACATTGAAAATAATAGCAGGATACACCACAAGAGTGGAGCTTAACGCTTCTTGAATCACATGAAATCTATGGACCTTTTCCTCAGAAAAATATACAATTGCAAATGGTTTTGTACGTAATTTCTTTTCCACAAAATTTAAACATAATTTCTAAGAATTCATAGACCCCCATGAAACCTATCCATGGATCCAGAATTAAGAACCGTTTATCAAGTAAAAGAATAGGAAGACCTCAATTTACACATAACTACACAAGTACAGTAAGTGGAATGCACCCTGGGTTGGGAGCCAGAAATGGGCTCAAAACAAAGTTTTGCCATTTCTAGAATTGTGTGACCTAGGATAAGTCATTT